GAACTTTTATTTTCTTCATTCAATTTTTTTAATTATAATTTAATTTAGATTTACTAACAAAGAAATTTAATTTAGATTTAATAATATAATTTTTTATAAAGATAATAACTAAGTATTCTGTTAGAATCAATGATTATCTTAATTATATTTTAAATTTTTTATATTTAAAATGAGATGTTTATCAAATATCTGATATTTATCTGCAGTTAGTAACATGAATTCAAATATGAAGCTTTAATAAGTTGTACTTATGCACAATTTACTTGTAATCTTAAATTATAAGTAATATGAATCAATAAACAGTACTTCATGTACAAAAAATAGTTTTTAAGAATTTTTGTCAAATGTTTTATAATATAGTATAGATATTTATTGGTGGTATTTTTTAATTTTCTCATTCTGAGTGACATATATTAGCTTAATTTTTTTTTAATTTTTGGTAATAAAAAATTAAAAATATTGAGTTTTAATGTTATAATCAGATCTGATTAATAATAATAATAAAACATGTAACCAATCATTATGGTCTCAGATTTTCAAAAAAATAGTGTAACTTATTATATAACCAATTCCTCGTAACCGGTCCCACATATATAAACGATCCAAACTAGTACAATAGGTTGAAGTCGATCTTATTTGGTTAATGTTAGAATTATCTCGCTTATGAAGACAAGACTTAGCTCGAAGTCGGATGAATGTCATGTCTGCTTGAAAGATTACTTGGATAGCTTAGCGAACAAAACCAACAACTGATACCGACAACACAATCAAAAACTTTGAAGATGAAATTGATTAATGTATACCGAAGACTAGAAGAAAAGACTGCAACATGCAGACAATTAAAAGGGTATCAATTATGATAAAAGGGTATTTTTAATATGATACTAAATTAGAGATGTAGACGACCTTTGGTAGGACACATTGTTTACACATTTGTATTATCACATGTAATAAGAGTTTTACAAAAAAGAGGTAATAATTCACTCCTTAAATAAATTGAAATGAAATTAATAAAAGAAAATGCGGTCCATTAATTGGGCCCAGCCCAATTATGCTGATTTATAGGCCTGTTGGGTTGGGGCGTTAAAAACACGTTCGGATTTTGGGTCTATAACCAGATTGTTGTATTCTGCGTACGATCAGTTCTTCGTTCCTCTTCCGCGTCGGGATTTTGATGTAAGCACGACGACCGCAGCTTGTGTACTCGCATTCCTATCGCTCACTACATATGTTTAAGCGTAAAGCGTGTTTATTATGAGCTAACACAAATGCAGTCAAAGGTTAGTCATCACTCATCATCCTCATTCCGATCATTTTAAGCTCCGGCAGTACGGCACCTTTTTTCTCGTCGGTGCACACCTGGAACCCACGATGGAACTTCACTAAAATCGTAATGTGGTCATTTGATTATCATGCATGTTAGAAAACGTGGTGGTTGCATACTTGTATCCCTCGTATCTCGTAATAGTTTAGCATACGCCCACCAACTGTTCGACAATTAGTTTCTAAGCACTCTGAGCGTCGGTTTTCTTTTCTTAGCTGTAGGGAGTTTAAGCTTTAATCTGGTTACCAAATGTTATTGGGGGCGCATTTGCTCTCGATCGCGATTAGTTGCTCCTGTCTGGATGCATTGCCACTTTTTGCCCCCTCATAGTCGGATTGACTCCTGTCATTAAACCTTGTCATCCTCAAATGCAAAATCAACATGGTTTTTGTACTTTTGTTGCAAATTTGGACCAACTTTATTCCCTTCGTGGTACTTTCTGTTACATTAAAACTCTCAGTAAGTTTGAGTTCAGATTGTTTTGAAGTCCCAAAGATACMTGTTCCATACAAATTCAATCTACAGCTCTTGTGTTGATGAATGATGATAACAGAACTTGCTCACGATGTCTATTGCCCCATTCGGGTCAGCGTCTTGAAGGATCCTCTTGCAGTCTGGTATCACTAGCAAAGAAAATGGATTCATCAGGACTACCTTGGCCATGTGAGCCCGAAGATAGTCTTCGATGTCTAAGTTAGTGTTAGTTCTTTATGAATTGAGAGAAAGGTAAGTGTATCAGTATTTTAACTTGTGACGAAGTGATGGATTTGTCTTATATTTACAGTGTGATTTCAATAGATGTGATGAGATCAATTATMTGTGTCTGCCTAAGTGATTTGTTTAATTAAGATAAATTACAAGATAGATATGTTGCTGAGTGGTAGTATGTGGTGTCCAGATGCTCCATTCCATTCCTCCAGCTTATTTGGATATTGTCATTTGCCATAAGCTGTCGTTGACCTTCACAGTTGTCACTTGTCAGTTGTCATAAAGTTGTTTATCTCATAAACTCATCTTTTATGGAGCTTAGTAATCTTCTTCAGGCTCATTTTTTATATTCAGCATGAAGTTTTTGGTTTCTCCATGACCTTTTTGTTTCAAATCAAACATTTGTTARTGCTCAAAATTTATGAGATTCTTGAACATGGTTGGTCCTTAGATATTTGGTGCCCTGGGCGAAAACAGTTAGAAGTGCCCCCAATTTAAAAAAAACAAATTTTTTTGTCGTTTGTAACAATGTTAAAATGATGTTACCGAGCAACAAATCCACTTACAATGTGCACTTCGCTAGGGATAGCATAAGAACTTTTGTTTAATGGCCTTTAATTCTTAAAACTCTATGTAAATGCAAGGTAATTGTCTTTATTGTCAAGAAACCATTCGAAATAAATCGAAAATAACTTATATTTAGCATATAGTAACACCTGACGTGTAATCCTGCTAAAACAAACAACATTCTATATTCATTGATAATTTTGTAGAGTAACTTGGTTATATACTGATGTGCTCAAACAGTGTTCAAGCCAATTCTTGAACATGGTCTAAAAAATGTCATTTTGTAGCAAATGCAAGAGAAAGATAACTTACCTATTTCTTGTATAAAATATTTGACGAAATTATGCACAAAACAAAATTAATAAGTTTTCARGTATGATAACGAAGTTTTTCAATGCAAGAAAAAGATAACTTATTCCTTACAAAATATTTATTGTTGAATGTGAATAGTTTTATTTAGTTTTTTATTTTATTATATCGAATAAATCAAAATCTAATTGTATTCTGTTGGGTTGTCTTTCTTACGCAGTACATTTATCTGGCATCATGTTTTTGACAAGAGTTTTCGGAAGGACACTTCTTGCAGCTGCAAAAACAGAAACTTCTGCTGCCGGGGCAGCAGCTGCATATACAGTCAGAACAGGACATAACCCCCTTGAGGAGCTCTTTGAGGCAGATAGAAACCCTGAGGAGGAAAAACATGTTATCTATGGTGCATACTTCGAAGGCCTTACTTAAACTCCTATACGTGTTCTGCAGTCACTAAACCAAACGGACCCGGTAAATCACATGCAGAAGTCGAGATTGGGGAGGGTAAAATGTACGCAAACTTTACCTCTACCCAAGGAGTAAATTTCAAAATATTAAATCTAACATTTGAGACATACTTATTAACAACTTAACAAGCTTAATAGGACTCACGGTTTAATTCGCCAACTACATATGACTATTTAATAATGGTTTAATAATGTATATAATAATTTATTCAGTAAGCTTTCAATGAGCTTTATGTAGAAAAAGCCAAGTTTTTAGTCAAACATCCCCCACATTCACAATTGAAAAACACAATCTTTTCCTCTATGAAAAAAACTCTTAAACAAAAACATTTTCAATCTATATTTTATATAGATAAATTAATCGAGATACAGATAACTTTATCCACACATAACTTGATAGAAAACCAACCAAATATCCCCTAAGCTTTGTGCTTGTAGCAACAATTTTACACATGGTATTGGCTCATATAGATTACCAGCAACAAAAATAGCACCCAATTGCAGAGAATGGTTACTCACGGATCCCCTCTTGTAAATCATTTGGAGGTCCAGTAAAACCTAGAGCCCTGCTTATATTATTTTCCGACGATCCAGATAGTAGTATACAAACAATTCATTCGGTTCTCAAGGCTTTGATCCAGTCTATTTCCAAGCGAAAATCACCTGGCCCAGTTTCAGTATCTGGGACTCCACCTTCAGCGTTCACAGATAGTGACATGCCAACAACTTTAGAAGGATTCATTTCTATGTCTGCCTCGATTACGTTTCCTCTCCATGTTGGAAGATAATGTGCAAGAGGAATCTGAAAATCTCAAAAATTAAGGGATGTTTGGTTGGAGGTATTAAGCAGTAATTAGTGAGAATGAAAATAAAAGAATTTGTGTGGTTTTACATTAAATAAGGGGCTCATTCCCCTATAAGCCCAAATTTTCATTCCAGGTCAAACGACATATTCATTCTCTGTCATTTTCATTCCCATGCATGAACCAAACACCCTCTTAATCACATCAAACATGACTTTTCTATTATCCGCAGCTTTTTTCTTGTAGAACTGATAAAAAACATATAGATTGATCTTCAGCAAAACAAAGAACATGGATTCATATGTTAATCTTTATCATCAAGAATATAAACCAAGAAAGAAACCCTAATCCACAAAGCCCTAATCAAGTTTTGACCTTTATTGCAACTTCATAATCTGAGGCTTTCTTCATAGCTAGAATAGGAACAATCAAGAGGGGTGGAGGGAGAGAAGTAGATTTCAGGGGACAGCAGTGGACATAGTCAATTCACAGACCAATTTTGCAAAAAACAATAAGGGTGTGTTCGGTAACGAGACAGAATAGTTGTTCAGCATTTGGTAAGACAAAACTAGACAAGATACAACAGATAAAATGACCAATTTACCCCTAATGAATTGTTTATATATTTTGATTAATTTATGTAATTTATCAAGTTATAAAAAAATATATCATTAGAAAGCTTTCATCAAGACGATTCAAAATAATAAGTTTATGTAGTTTTCAATTTTTATTTTATACCTTTTCTATATTATTTTATTATTATTAATATTTAACAAATTACATAAATTGATCAATATATGTAAACTGTAAAAAAATAATATTTTGAGGACAATAATATGAAAGTTTAAAAACATAAAATACAATAAATAAAATTTAAATAATGAATAAAATGTAAAAAGGCAAGCATATTTGATGTTTTAGGAGAAAAAAATTGATTTTATTTTGAAATTATATGGCAAAATATAGGTCTATTCCACGGTGGGGGTGGAACAAGTCTGTTCCACATAAAAGTTCTGCCAAACATGGAACAATGATCCTTGTTCTGTTCTTTCCTGTCTGTTTACCAAATGCACCCTAAAGGACCAAGGCTGCACATAACCCAAAATTCCAGGTTTGTAGTTTCACTCTATTTTCTTTTCTTTGTTGGCTATACACACAACCTCCCCTTCAGGTTTGTGAAGCAAGATAAGATAGCAAAAATGCAGCATATGCAAAAAACTAACAAGATCCTATCAAACTAGAATATGTAAGGAGGATTTCAACTTGCCTTTGCAACAACCCAGTTGTCTTTAGGCACACAAACAAAAGCTTGCCATGAGTTATCTTCCATTTGTCCAGGCGAATTTACCCAATTCTCTGTATAAATCTACATCAAAGTTATTAAAGATTTAGGATGAACTCCAAATGTGTGTTAATTCAAAATAGAACTTGAAACGATTCATTATAATGCAAAGTTACAAGCCTCTCAATATTTCCTGGAATAGAAGACATAGGGATATAAAACTTACAGTCGATATATAACTCCTACCATCTCCTTTAACTTTTAATGCTATAGTATCATATGGATCTAAATCAATAAAGCCATCAAACTGCAGCAGAGAGAAGAAAATCACCAATGATACTGTTAGAAAGCTCAAGGAGAAATCGCTAGTCTGTAGTATCCTCAGACAAATTACATTCTAAAAGATGGCAACACACTGTCCAAACGAACTAAACTTACATTATAACATGTATTAAAAATACATGCACAGGATAAAATTTGTAAATCAACAAAATCTTGGCAAATGCAGTTGATGAACCTAGTTTTGTTCAATAAAATACCTGATAAGAAATGCAATGTATTGCCCAACTCCCAGCTCACATGTTTTATTAACTGCGGAGCTCTGATGAGTGCTGATATGATCGCACCCCCATATGTTATTATGATATTATCCTTGCTGAAAAAGCAAGTTCTAGAGCCCATTACAAAAGTTTTTATGTCAAGTCCAAAGATTGCCATCATAAGTACTTGCCATCATAACTATTTGCAAGATCAAAGAAATTAGTATAAGAAAATTTGCATCTTCAATTACACTCTCTTTCTCTGTTTAGATGCAGCATTTTAACTTGGCTGTATGATGATTAATTTAGTTGCATAAATGCAGCAACAATGAACCTGGTAATTCATGCAATCCTATTAAGACTTCTCAAGAGCACATCAAATAGCAACACAGACAAGGAAAGTATTTTCATGGGAAGATCTGTCTAGAATACAACTACAGAACTGATGTCCACCTTTTTAGACCTCATTCCACAGAAGCCACTCCTGCTAATATTCCATTTTGTACCCTCTGTAACATCCAAAGAGAGATTCCCAGAGAAAACTCCTATAATGTTTTAAAGAATCAAGGATCAAAAGACAAAAATGTTTTTTAATAATCACGGAGAGTGATCTGCACATATTAGTAGATGATCGCTGGAGGGACAGCAATCCTCATATGGCTATTTTTACTAACCAGGGCCACTCCGTTCATTTCCAGCATCATTGATCTCCAATGCTGCTGATGATAAACCTGTATAATGATAAATAGGGCAAAGTTATTCTTGTTCTAACCATGATGATGGAACCCTTATTGCACAAGTAGGTTTGAAAATGGAATTGAAGCGTCTATAAAGAGCTTTCAACATTTGTTATAATTGGTAGTGGTAGGCTGGTAGCTAAAGATAACTGCACCTCCTAGCACTAAATTTGGATGCAACATTACCAGAAAAAGTTCTTTGTTGTATTATGAAAGACAGACCTAACCATGATGATGGAACCCTTATTGCACAAGTAGGTTTGAAAATGGAATTGGAGCGTCTATAAAGAGCTTTCAACATTTGTTATAATTGGTAGTGGTAGGCTGGTAGCTAAAGATAACTGCACCTCCTAGCACTAAATCTGGATGCAACATTACCGGAAAAAGTTCTTTGTTGTATTATGAAAGACAGACAAAAAATAAACAAAGTAAAAGAAGCTCCAATAATAGTTCAAATTGTAATTCGTCATTTTGGAGGTCAAAGAAGTTTGAATAAAGATTTGATAGGTGAAACTCCTAACACTCCCAAGCATAAATTTCCAATTAATTGCATGCGTGAACAACACTTGGTGGGAAAAGCACAATTCGTTCAGACAGCAGCATAAGACGAATCCTTTACTTAAAACAGCTCAACTTCCCCCAATTAATCGGATACAGTACCATCCATACAAAAGAATCCTCACCTCCATATTCAGAATCTGAATACAAATGCCATTTCTTAAGCTCTTCTTTTGAATTGAAGTTGTATATAAATCTCTCGCTAGGAGGAATCATGTCCTCAATGTTCCACGTGAGAGCTACATAATCACAGATGAAAATATAATCAGCTTACAATGAATATCGATCTCAAAAGACGTCAAACCATGATCAATGTTGTCATGTGTCATCCTGGCAGAAAACGTTAATTCAAGCTTACCTCCTTGCATATTAGATGAGGTTAATAAACAAGAAATGAGAGATTATGAGATTTCTTTAATTATAAAAACCTCAAAAACCATGCAATTTAATGATCTTCATTAACGCAGTCCCTACAAAAAAAATATTTGCAAAGAGCCTCACATCATGTCAACACATACTTGGTTAATTTCTACACCATCGGTTAAAGAGCCAAACATGAATATAAAATGCGTCATCCTGATTATGTTTAATAATATGAACCTTACTAACAATAAGCAAATGGTATGAAGACCACCAAAGTTAGCACCACATGGACCTTATAGATAACAAACATACAAGTTAATGCACATTCTTTCCCCTCACAGTCATACTCTCTTCCAAGAAAAAAGGAAAAAATGAAGACTCAAGTTGTGGCTTTGAGGTTATGAACTTATGAGTTATATCTCCCACTAACAAGCTAATCCTGGTTTTCAGGTGTAGAACTTTCATGAGGGTGGGTGTCCAGTCAGCTTGAGTGGGCCGGCTAATCCCATGGCGCCAAAGATAACAGCCAGGAAAATTCTAGTGGACCAAGGCCTAGCCTTTGCTTGAGGTAGCCCTTCTACAATTAGGGGATGTTTGGTTATTTTTTTAAGAGATTGGGAAAATTCTTTGTTCGGGAGGGTTTTTTGAAAGATGAAAGGAGCGCAATTTTTAATTCGGAGAGGCACCACCCAAAAACTTGCTGAAGAAGGCACTTTCAATATAGTCACTACCAAACATTAGCTGCAATTTCCGTTAAAGCTCGTTAAGCTGCTAACAACCAGACCCTTGATTCAGAGGCCCATAAAATATTAGCGAAGAAAATTAGAGGGAAAACTCAGTTCGAACTTCGAACAACCAAGAAGGTATTTTCTGTGACGGCTAGTGAATTGAACAAATTGAGATGCAACATACAGAGTGTATCAATCAATTTATCTTGGAACGGGGAAAGGAACACAGAAGGGAGTAGCGTAAATACCTCTTTTAGTGGCGGTCAAAGATGCTTGCCATAATGCTCGAACTTTGGACATTTTCGTTAACTCGTAAGAGCCCTAGGAAGTGAAACAAACACAAAAAATTATGTAGTGTTGTCATCAATGAATAGAAGCAGGGCCGGTCCTGAGATTTTGGATGCCCATGGCAGAAAGTCAAAAAAATGCCCCTTATATGCGTAAATCAAAACCAAAATAAACTATTTGAAGGGGTTTGGAACCTAATCAATCTAGGCGGCTCATCCCCATGCCGATTTATTTTAAATATAACAAACGATGCAACGGGGGGACATAAACCAAAACCCCGTGTAACAAAATATAAAATACATCACCATTCACCTAAAACGATGCCTTCTTGCGTTTTTTGAAGCAAAAATATCTATCACTTCGTCATAACTAATATTAGCTAAAAACTTACTCTCAATACTCAAGATTGCTAACCCGTTCAATCGTTTTTGTTACATTTAAAATAAATCGGCATGGGGATGAGCCGCCTAGATTAATTAGGTTCCAAACCCCTTCAAATAGTTTATAAGGAGTATTTCTTTTACTTTCTGCCATGGGCATCCAAAATCTCAGGACCGGCCCTGCTTCATTGTAATGTTGTTTACAGAAAACCTAAGTAGGCATACATACAGTATTAGTATATTACATATTTAAAACTTAAAAGAAAACCTAAGCAGGACAGCTTCATCTAGATTACGAATTAATGAAACAAAAATTAGAAACATAAAATAAGTAGTAAAGTAAACAAGTAAATAAGTAATCAAATAACCCTAAGTTAAGCCCTAACCTCACAACAGTGACGGGTGGAGAGCGAGAGGCAGAGAGCGACGAGAGACGGAGAGAGGCAGGCAGGCAGCCGCAGAGACGAGAGAGGCCGCCGGCGCCCGGCAGCCGCAGACCGACGGCAGTCGGATTCAATAGTCGTGAGAGGCAGTCAGGCAGAGAGCGAGAGCGAGAGCCGTTTGCGATATTGATTTCGATTGAGATTGAGCGACAGCGTTAGAGGGTGGCGAGAGTGGAGAGGAGTCGAGAGGGAGGCGAGAGTCGAGACTCGAGAGGAAGGAACAGGGCCGGTAACGTTAGATTTTCTTAGGCCCAAATAAAACTAAACCTATATACACTGGGCTTTATAAATTTGATGTCCTCGGCTTCATGCTGTCCTGGGCCGTCGTCAGGGCCGGCCCTGCCATAGGCCTAGGCTATATTTGGGAACCATAAGCTAGCTTAGTTTTTAAGATTATTGAAAAAAAAAAACGTTTTAAACTAGCTTATAAGCTAGCTTCCGAAAAGCTACTTTAGGTAGTATTTCGATATGTTCTAGGGGCCCATTTCACTTATTTTAAATATGCCCCTTATATTTTAAATAAATGACCAAAACTTAGCTTATTTTTTGTTGTCATCTAGCTTATGAGCTAGTTGTTTACCAAACTTGGATAATCTATTAGCTAGCTTATCCATTAGCAGCTAGTTTTTTAGCCAACTCACCTAGTTTGACTAGCATAGGCCTAATAGTAGCAAAGTTACATAGCTAAACAGCTCTTTTGAGATTTCACCAGGGTTAATTAAGAGAAAGAAATGGATTATCTTGTTAAGATAGTGACATCAGAATAAAAAAGGGATATTGTCAAATATAAAAGGACATTTGGAGTAATTTTCTTTATGGTTACTTGAGTGACAACATGCTTTCTTAGTGTCTATTGTTGGATGTACAAGTGAGTGAGGTAGTTCATATCATGGTTTCCCAGTGTTGTTTATATTTACACATAATGAAGCTATAATATTTTTATCCCCAACTCTTACCACTAACAAAGTGAGACTTTTAAACTTGATACGTGCATCCAAATGCCATAACAGAGTCCCATGTCAATTTTTAAAAAAGCAGCAACAACAGAGCCAAATATATATATATATATATATATATATATATCAAAGATGTCAATGGATAAACTATGTCAAACCTTAGGTAGACGCTCTGGGTTTGGAAACGGGAGATTTTGAGCATGTAGCATCTGGCGTTGGGTCATAAGCATGTTCTTTTCCTTCAATAGGACATACCATAGCTTGTGTAGATCGTCCCAAGACTTGACATGCAGTTCAAAGGCTTCCAACTACGTCCTGAATAAAAACACAAGTTATGTTCAAATGCCAAAGAAAGAAAACTGTTGTAGTGCAGATCAATACAATGCTCAAATAACATTAACAAATGTCATGTGGTTTTAGTTTTCATGGAAACATATAGCACAGATCATCATTGGACCCTGATTACAGCTTAGATCGCCACCAGAAGTGTCAGAAATTATCAAAGAAGAATCTGTCACCCTGATGGGTTGTTAACAGGGCCATGGATATTGCTAATTTGCTATTATTACCAAAGTGGATTAAAAAATCTATGGACTTCGTAACCATAAAAGTAGATGTTGACAGCTTGATATTTATGCTAGACAAATTAATAAGGCTCTAAAAAGTTACTGTAACATTTGTAACCGGAGATTAAAATAAACATATGAGATATTCTTAGATATGAAAATTGAAAAACTAAGGTTTACTTGTGATCAAGGGATAAAGGTCAATGACCCCTAGTACTAATTCTCTTATCTTTCATCATCCTTCAAAAATTAAATCTCCATATCTCCTAGTTCTTATATCTGGTATTATGTTTATTATTAATGTATAAATTGAGGGACAATAAATTTCTATGTTTCTAAGTGGCAAGACTGCTAACCTCACCACTCATCTACTACTATACTTGACAATGCAAGTGAGTTTATTTTGCAAGATAATGTTTTTATCGCAAAACCACTTTATGTATGCAGAAACAACCTCTTTACTCCTTGGGTAGAGGTAAAGTTTGCATACATTTTACCCTCCCCAATCTCGACTTCTGCATGTGATTTACCGGGTCCGTTTGGTTTAGTGACTGCAGAACACATATAGGAGTTTAAGTAAGGCCTTCGAAGTATGCACCATAGATAACAGGTTTTTCCTCCTCAGGGTTTCTATCTGCCTCAAAGAACTCCTCAAGGGGGTTATGTCCTGTTCTGACTGTATATGCAGCTGCTGCCCCGGCAACAGAAGTTTCTGATTTTGCAGCTGCAAGAAGTGTCCTTCCAAAAACTCTTGTCAAAAACATGATACCAGAAAAATGTACTGCGTAAGAAAGACAACCCAACATAATACAATTAGATTTTGATATATTCGATATAATAAAATAAAAAACTAAATAAAACTATTCACATTCAACAATAAATATTTTGTAAGGAATAAGTTATCTTTTTCTTGCATTGAAAAACTTCGTTATCATACYTGAAAACTTATTAATTTTGTTTTGTGCATAATTTCGTCAAATATTTTATACAAGAAATWGGTAAGTTATCTTTYTCTTGCATTTGCTACAAAATGACATTTTTTAGACCATGTTCAAGAATTGGCTTGAACACTGYTTGAGCACATCAGTATATAACCAAGTTACTCTACAAAATTATCAATGAATATAGAATGTTGTTTGTTTTAGCAGGATTACACGTCAGGTGTTACTATATGCTAAATATAAGTTATTTTCGATTTATTTCGAATGGTTTCTTGACAATAAAGACAATTACCTTGCATTTACATAGAGTTTTAAGAATTAAAGGCCATTAAACAAAAGTTCTTATGCTATCCCTAGCGAAGTGCACATTGTAAGTGGATTTGTTGCTCGGTAACATCATTTTAACATTGTTACAAACGACAAAAAAATTTGTTTTTTTTAAATTGGGGGCACTTCTAACTGTTTTCGCCCAGGGCACCAAATATCTAAGGACCAACCGTGTTCAAGAATCTCATAAATTTTGAGCATTAACAAATGTTTGATTTGAAACAAAAAGGTCATGGAGAAACCAAAAACTTCATGCTGAATATAAAAAATGAGCCTGAAGAAGATTACTAAGCTCCATAAAAGATGAGTTTATGAGATAAACAACTTTATGACAACTG